CCACGAATGTATGTGGCTAAGGTCTGTAATCAATCATATTCGAGAAGAATGTGATTTATGCTCCAGAATAATAACTCCGACAATCTTATATGAAGATAATACCCAACTCAAAAAAGGATACATAAAGGGTGATAGCTCACCAAAGTTCTTTTTCACTCATGGTCTATAAAAGAATGGGAACATTAATGTCCAACAGATTCATTCAAGTTAAAATTGGCAGATCTATTTTCTAAGGCGCTTCCTACAGTACATTTGAAAAGTTAATTTTCAACATTGAATCACGTCGTTTAATAGATCTTTCATGATGTGTTTATGAGAGGAAGTAAATATGCGTTGTACTCTTTTTTTCTTATCCACGGTTTTGTTCCACTGGGTTTTATTGGAAAGGTTTTTAATGAGATAGCATGTCATGCGTATTGAAGGATGATGTACTCTTTTTTTCTGGGTTTTGTCCCTCAGAGTTTTCCCATAAGATTTTAATGAGGCCTGTATTTTTTACTGAAAACATCCAAGAGGGAATGTTATAAATAATATTTAAGTGGATGTTTCATCTTCCATACTTAAATGTTGTAACATATAGTTCTAATAATTTATGGGGTTTTTTAGCCTATAAAAGAATGTATCTATAAACTTGTAAGATATGTTTAATAAAAGATTATTATCTACTCACATAGTATTCTATATGTATGCTATAATTTTATAACAAGAATGTAATTGATCTCATTTTTAAGAATTAAAGAATATAATAAAGTGTAAAGTATACTTTGTTTAATAAGATTCAATAATTATAGTGTAAACAATACAAATAATCCCTTAACTATAGGGTATTACTTTGTTGAGTCATTCGATAATTAAAAGTTATAAAATGACCCCCTGATTATAAAATGTTATTATGTTGAGTCCCTCAACTATTAAAAGTTACAAAATGGTCACCTAACTATTCATATGTTTCAAACTCATCTTTTTTTGAGATAGACGTTAACATGTTGACTAAGATATGATAAAATCTAATTCGAGAACCGTTCGATCTGTATCTTGTGGATCGACTCTTTATTTACATTATGTCGCTGAATCAGTTCTTGAAATATTATGTTGTTCGAGCTAGTGCCTAAAGCAACGGCGATGCATGTAGACATCATAATGTAATTTTATCATATCTCAAACAACAAATTAACGTCTAGCTTAGACGCCCACCAATTTTTTAACGCAAAAAAGACGAGTTTGGAATATATGAATAATCAAATGACTATTTTGTAACTTTTAATAGTCAAGGAACTTAGCAGAATAACATTCTATAATCAAGATATCATTTTATAGCTTTTAATAGAGACTCAACAAAACATCATCCTATAGTCTAGGATAATTTGTATATTTTACCTTTAATTATAATTATTTAATTAATTTTTAAACAAGTCTCGAATAAGTACTCGTACAGATGGAACTGCAACTGCTTTTTGCATCCTATCTTTTTTGGGGTCCGATGGATTTTGAAATTTTGAGTGATAGCTTTGTTGCAAATAGTTTTCCCGGTGTGAAATTAAAGTAGACTAATTAATTTATTTATTCAATCTTTTCTTTAGTAAAGGAATCATTAATGCAATGCTGCCTCATTACCATCACCCTCTCCAATTTTATAATGTAGGGAAAAAGAAAAGTAAAAAGATTCACTTTTCCTTTTCGATGATTTGTACCTCTTTTTTTAAATGAGATGAATACTTGTTCTTTAATATATTATAATGTGGTGAATTTAGAATGACAAAATATTATTATTTCAGATATGATAAACATAATTTATTGATTTTGAAATTACATTTTATATTTTCTATTTATCTATCTATCTAGATAAATAAAAGGAGCATTATTTTACAAAATAGATACACTAATATTCTAACATTTGTCATTATTATCTAAAAACTAAAACATCATAAAAGAGTATTATTTTGTTTTTTTATGAATAAAGTAAAAGTGATAACTCTAAACAGTTTATTTCATTAACACGAGACGAGCGTAGATAGTGAAGGGTTTCTTCTGAAAATGGTATTTCCATTTTTCTTGGGGTCAAAGAGGAAGATGAAGAGCGACGCGAATGATTTAGCAAATATAATATGATAAAAAAATATAGATAAACCAAATGATTAAACACACAAGAAAAGAATAAAGAAATTAGTTAAAAAAATATGAAATTTTGTTGTTACCAGAGAAGCAATATCAAGCTACACTGCTCAAATATATTCTTTGAAACAATGAGCACACCCAGAACAAATTTATGGAAGAATAACAATTGATCAAACTTTCAAACTCGTTGAATGTGTTTGTGGGGTGTAACATCTCTATACAATGAAAAGTAAGTAGCTGTTTCTGGGCTTTTTCATATGTACAAGTGATGGTTGTTCATATCAAAATCCCTACATATATCATCCATGGATAACCAACGACTTACTTGAATCGTGAAGCTCCTTTAATAATACTAGAAAACACATCAACCCACGCCATTTAAAATAATGGGTAACCAACGACTTATCAGTTGATAGAAATAATGGGTAACCAAAATAAAAACAAGAATAATCAATGAGACGAGGAAGTTTTTCCATCTGAAAAGAAAAGCGCAACGGTGGGGAAGATAAGATTCACGGTAAAATGAAAAGAAAATATATATTTTTTTTACTGTGAGTTGGGGAAAAAATTTATGGGTTATGAATTTAAATTAAATCTAAGTTATTTATTGATCTGAATTTAATAACTATAAATTAGTGTAAAATTTCTTAATTTCATACAGTGTAAATGGATTCTATATATAATGGCCTCCATCGTGAGAGTAATTTTTTAAAAATAAATATTTGTTTTTTTAATTAATATATCATATTATTAGAATAATCGGTGATGAATAAAATTTAATGTATGTTAATTATACATATAACATAAAAGAGAGTGTCTATCAATAGATCAGATACTAGTGATTATAAAAAGAATGACTTAATTAAGTTTGTAAGATAGTTTTAGTTTAGGATGGGGTGATTGAGTAAAATAATAAATGTGGAGTTGTTTTAGTAAAATTAATTTATTAAGAAAATTTATCGCCATTACTTTATTTAATCACGTAAAAGCATCTTTTGGTTCTGAACAAACTTCAATTATTAAAACAGGAGTAATCAGTGGGCAAGCCATGTCTGATGGAAGAAAAAAGTCTCGAGGCTCGTAGCAAGAGAAAGGTTCAATTTAAGTGGAACCCAAATACTTTTGTTATCGCAAAGTTTTAAACAGTGGATGGACAAATCGCAAAAGCTTCATCCATGCTTTTCCGTGTATCGTGTGCGTTTCTAAAGCTAATTTCTCTCGAATCTTTTTACTTTTTCTTGACCATCACCAACATTCAAAAGCTACAAACTTTTAAAACAAAGTATGTCTGTCTAATCTTTCTTCCAAAGCTCGTGTTAATTTCTTTACTTTACACTACAATGGCGCATATAATAATATTAATTAATCGACTTTGGTTTAGAGGTAATGATCCTTTCCATAGTGGCAACAGAATAGCAGATGCCTTGGCGAAATGGGCATGCATGAACTCTTACAACCTCCAGAAGAACTGGTGCTCAAGTTACAAGAAGAATAAGCTGTTTCAGACTGAGCTGTAACCCCTCATTTCTTAACCAAAAAAACAGTCACCATAGATTAGCATTTGGATACGAATAAAATTGGAATATAGTTTTAACCCGACTCTTCCCTTTCTTTTTCTAAGAAATCTAATAAGTTAGCCCCTTTGCTCTTAAGTTTATTTCTTCTCTCAAATTTCCAGCTGGATACAGGGTCTCAGTTCCTGATATAGCGAGTGGCGCATACTATCCTATCCATATATGAATATTATAATTTAAAAAATTAATGTATTGCGTTGTTATCTTGTTTTCAGTATTAGTGAGAAATTTTATTGTTATCATTTGATTAGGATCTTCAATAATTGAAAATGTATAATTTTTTGTTTTGGGTATGTTTATGTGTGTTTTAGTCTTAAATTTTATCTTCTAGTTCTAAGATCTTAATAATATTCTAGAAAGGAAAAGCACCTTCTAAGATTATTGTGTGATTCACTCCGGTTGACATGAAACGGAGAGTAAATCTCCAAGCGATTTTCAATTAGATCTCATTGATAAAATTTTGAAACTAAAATAACTGGGAATAAAACAAATTTACTGCGATCAATCCAGAACAAATAAAGAGAGCCTTCCTGCATCTAAAAGAGGAAGGCACAAACCATGTCTTCGCAAATTTAATCTGAATTTTTGGTACGGAATGTTATTTTTAGGGTTGACTTCTAGGGATAGGTTTGACTCAACTAATTTTATATGCTGCATGCAAGTTGCAAATAAAATGTGGTTAGTTAATTCACCCAGAAATCCCATGGGTTTATAATTAATCTAAACTCCAGCGCATAGGAAGACTGGCTGGCATCAATTTTGTCAACTCTTCCGAGTTTTTTTTTTTCTCTATTTTTTTATTTGATGGTGGATTGTTATCTCTTGATTCTCGGCATTATAAAAAGAAAGCAAATTAAACTGAATAAGCAAAACATACACCGTCATATGCCACACTAAGCAAATCGGAAAACCCAATATTCTCATCATTTGCCTTTGTCTTGAAGCACTCAAATTGAAAATATGAATGCAAAGCAGTGATTTCTTTTGAAGCAATCACGCGGCACTGCTCCTCCCTGTTTTTGCTGCCGCTGAGATTATACTTTAACGCAAGACAGAAAGACAGACAGGCAAACAATTGCAATCATTCTTTATTTGCTTCAACACCAACTTTTCCTTCTTTTTAACGGCCTATATGAAATGATTCCTTAGACACATGGACGAACTTACCGGACACTGAACAAGTTATCTATATCAAATAATTGTAGTATAATTTCTGAAACTGGTTTTAGTCACAAAAATGATAATCTACCACTAATCAACGTTGCAAAGTACCGAAGCCAGTTTCAATGGCTGTAGCCTCGAAGAAGAAAATACACGGAGAATTCCGAGCACGGGTGGTGTTTGTTAAAGAGTACACCCAGAAAAAGGAAAACACAACTCAATAGGCTACCATATTATCATGCATTATGCATGAGTGAAGCCTCAATTTTGTAAATTACCTTGCATCTTGATTCAACTAAATACCTGTTCGGAACATTAACTATTCCATAAATGAATGCAGGTAATCACTATAAAAAACAAGATAAGCCCCAGTAACTAATTACAAGAAGAAACAAGGATAACACACAATCAAATAGCCTCACCCAAATTTGAAAACCTGAGACTCGGAGAACTTCAGATTAACTTTTGCATCCGTATTCCAAAATAATTAATTGTCACTCCAATTATCATCATCATCACTCCCAACAGCCTGAACAAGTTTCAAAAGTATTAAATCAGGTTGTCATTCATAAGAGAACAAAGGAGGGGGAAAAAGAAATACGAGGAAAAAGTGAAGGAGCAATTGGAGACCTGGCGAATTGCATTTGCTTTCTGCAAAATTGCGGTAACTTGGACATTTGTAGTGGGACCAGAAATAACAGTTGGTCTTGCAGTGACTGTGGGCCTTAGGTTGAAAGACTGAAAAGGCAAAAAGATGTAAGTGAACGAATTATACTCCATTTATCACAGAAGTCATCAACTGTAGAGAATACACGAAACCACGCATTTAAATTTGGGTGCCTAGTAATTGAAATAAATGAAACAAGATCCAAGTTCTACAACATGATGATCATATAGTAATATCAAGATATTCACAATCAAAGAGGAACATAAATGCACAAATTACACACACGGACACCGACTCGTTCTTGTACCAAAGGTACTTCTTTCTCTCTTTCCTGTTCTATAGATAATAAGAGGGAAGAGAGGCAGGAAACTCTTATATTTGAAAAAACAAATCCATAGGGCATATGAAATTATAGTGTTAAATTTGAAGTGTTGACAAACAAGCCGTGAAATAATCAATGATATTTTAGTATTTACATAGATATTTGCTGCCTTTATTTTTTCAGATTTTGATCAAATAAATGTTTTTTCAAACAGTGAAATTCACATTTGTAAAGGAGCATCTAAATTAAGGAACCATTGTTCATTTGGATGATGGCTAGCGACATAACAAGAAAGAAATAACTACTCACTTTAGTTCTGATCTGATGCAAGAAATCTTCCTTTTCATCCATTTCCCGGCAGCCACTAAGCTGGTTTGCATCTTTCTGCCCATTCACATTCTCTTGTCCCGCCTGCCACATTCATCATTTTTACGATTTATACACAACCATGTCCACTTCACAACATTTATTGAAGAAAAAAAAACAGAATGGCACCATTACTAAAGTACCTTACTCTCAGGCTTTAATGCAATTGTCTCGTCATTCGTTTGTTGTTGAGTAACTGAAGGGGGCTCAGGCTTCTGAGAGACAAAAGACCCCAAAAGTTTCAGATCAAGCTCATGTCTAAGTGACTCTGATAAGGCATGTTGTCTTTCCTCTGCCTCATTGAAGCAGGGTTTGGAAATCCGCCACTGTGCAGGAGGAGGAGGTGGAGGCACTGGTTTGAGCTCTGTTGTATTTTGCACATTTGGATTCTTTTGATCAGAATTGCTTTTGGATTCATCATGTAGTATAGGGTTAATGATATCAAAACTAAGGAGATCAAGTGAAATAGAAAGTGAAGATTCTGCATCAGACCCAGTAACTATAGTTTTATTGCCCTCGTTAACACGGATTCCACTGTTAGCTGGTTCTTCAACATGAAAACAGCTTGAAACAGATGCCATTGATGACAATCTGCTTAATGCATCATACAGCTCAGGGTCCTTGCTTTCAGGTGTTTCACCAGATTCCCACTGCTCAGAATTTGAGTCGGAACAATTACTAATGCAACCATCAGACATATAAGGCGATGATCTGCAGAAAGTATCATCATCAGAGTCTGAAGCAACAACGTGTGCTGGAATAGCAGGCACTGGGACCAACTGAAATGAAGGAAACATGTCTCTAATGTTTTCGTGATGATGATTCCCACCAGGAAATTGCAATTTGAGTTTAGAAGTTTCAAATCCATCTATAGGATTGAAAGATATTTTCATATGTTCAAGTGGAGGAGAAGAAGTAAGTGAATTTACTGGAGACCCGTTCCCAATCTGCCCATTCAAGGTTGTCCGAGGAATTTTCTGACCTGATATGCCCTGCTGCCAATTCCTTAGCTCCAGTACCCCAGTTTTTGTAGAAGTTGCTGGTTCAGATTCATCATCACGGCCAATCACCATCTTCCTGCGAAAACCATTTACAAGTAATTTATGGCCAAGTCCAAACATACTAGATGAGCTGTCATCATTCTCCTCGTTAGATTCAATAGATGGAGCCTTGATATCAAAATTGACTGGATGCTTGTTTCCGTGTGGCAATGAAGTGTTTAGGCTCAAGTCAACACCATTTAAATTATGAAGACCATCATTATAATGAGAATTAACAGGTTTTTCAGGGTTGGCACCAAAATCAGTTACCAGATGGAATGTTTTCTCACTACATAATCCTGGAACCTTCTCATTCAAATCCGCGTTCTCAACCACTGTACCTGAATTTCCTTTGGGTCCATCAAGAGAAGGCATCAGAAATTGATTTGGAGGACCCGATGCTTCACTAGTTTTAGCTGCAGAACCCTGACCTCCAGCTGATACGGCAAAATCAGGAGGTTTCGATGGCTGAAGTCCCAAAAGGCCACCATTTGTCCAGAACCCAACTGGATGCACAACAGAAAATTCAGACTGAGAGTTTTGAGAGTCATTAACACCGGTTATGATCGAATCACTGGCCTGATCATGCATATTATAAACTGTGGAGCCAGAGGATGATGGTGGATCACTGATAACAGGTTCTGATTGTGAGCCACTGCGGATTTTATTACTCATGCCTAAATCAGCACTTGGTGAATGATCAGGTTCAGAAAATTTGCCAGAGATTTGAGGTATCTGTTCACAGGAAAATTTCTCTCTGTGTACTGGATCGGGTGAACTGTCAGAGATCCCCTTGATTGAAATAATAGAGGACGAGGCAGGCTGTTCAATTACAGATGAATTATGGTCTGCGTTATCATCCATAACCATCTGAATTTCATCTTCTCTCTCATTACCGAAAATGTTAGCATCTTCAATCTGTTCCACTTTCCATTTTGTTTGGCACTCAACATCTTTTTCAGAACAAATTTCCGCTTCCTGTTTTCTATGGCACTCAATATCATTTTCAGATTCCGACTCTATTGTGTTCAGTGCATCCATGTAATTATCTGGTTCACTTTCAATTTCATCATTTTGGCTCTCAATAGTGCTTGATTTAAGGGCGTCCATGTCATTAAAGGGGATATCCATTTGGTCATCATTTACAAGATTGGAAGCTCCAATTTCCTGCACATCTACATCAAAGTTTGTCTCAGGAACTTCATTAATATTCCAATATCCTGCTTTAGACTCCACTATTTCTGACTTTTCATCCCATGTTACACAAGATGCACTAGGGCCAATCTGCTCTTGCGATGAACTATGTGAAAAAGTATCATCTAGAACCTGAGTTTGTTCGACAGGAAAATTGGAACCAAGGGTATCTGTTTCTTGAATCAACCTAGAGGACAGTTCCTTGGATTCCAGTTCCTCGGGGTGCATGGATGAACCCAGATTGAAAGCACATTCAATATATCCAGACCCAGCTCTTGAGTCAAAAGGACTTGAATGCTCTCCCACATCAGATTTCGGCGCCATGTCGACCATAGATGCATTTTGAGAGGACGTTCGTCCATTAGCAATTGGAGAAGTAAATTGCATTCTGCAAAGTCCATTTTCAATTAAATCAAATCGTATTCAGCACAATAATTTAAAAGTAAATGTATACATCTTTGTGTTTGTATGCTAGTCTGCATGAAAGTGAGCATTTTATATACATATACATACACAAGAATTACCTGCCACTTTGACTTGATAATGATGCACTGCGTGGTAGTTTGCCATTCCGGTGGGACGATCTTTTTTTCTGTACATTTTTGACAAAATTGATTCAGAAATTATTCCAAATTAAAGGACATGTAGCTTATTCAGTTGCAACATGAACCTGAAAAGGTTGCACTTATACAAAGTGTACCTCCATGTCATAGGAGTCCCGGGGACAAATTCATATGAAGTATTTGTGGAGTGAAGAATTTTATTCCACTAAAGATTAAATTGTTTAATAAATAAATTAAAATGAACTGAGTCGATTGAAAGGGGGTACAAAAATTGACTCAAAACAGTCATAATTCTCTGCCTGGATGGTTAATAGAGTAAATGATACCTTGCTTTTACGAGTCCTCTTATCTCTTGGGACTTTTTCGGCATCTTCTTCGGGGCTACCTGAGGCTCTCTTAAAGAAGGTCGGATCAGAATATCTCTTTAAACAAGATCCCGGGCCACCAGCATCAAATCTGATTGCAAAGCAGAAGTAAAAATCCAAAACAATGTAATATACACATCACAAATATATTTCTTAAACATGATTGTCGTTGCTAAAATGAGAAAGCGGGTGTAAATAACGATACTTGTCAAGCAAATGGAGGCGTGGAGGATCGCAACAAACTTCATAGGAGTCCATAACAAATCGTGGCAAATCATTGTAGATGAAAAGATTTTTCTCATTGCGGATCCGTGGGTGCCATTCAGAACCTGCGGGGCAACTGCTTTTCATAAAGATTTGAACAGAAAGATGAAGAATTCCCAATAGCTAATACAAAAAATTCAAACTTGAAATATAAAAATTGTAAACTTGAACCTAGTTTGTGTCCAAGTAAGAAGCAACATCACTGTTTTTCTAGTATCTTGAATCTTAAACATACAGGTGTATTGTTATGCAATGACCACAAAGAAAATAATATCAAGATTACATGCAGTAAATATATATATTGATGAAAAAAATAATCATTTAAAAAAATATCTAATCCATTTAATCTATAATCAATGGAAATCATCCCAGGATTTAAACAAATAAAGCATGTTTTGCATCGAACAAGTTTCCATTGCCATAGATCTACTTTCTTTCAATAGAGTCATCTACTATAATACTGCTTCAGTTGTCAACAGCAACTGACAACTGATACCGCATGGTTAACTAAAAACAATGTTCTTGAAATTAAGCTCTTACTGAATATTTGAACCTCAGAAAATAAGACGTCCCTTTTTATGTAATTCATCAATAGCAGTGAACTTATGGTCTATGTCTTGCTGGCACTCAGCCCTAGTTTTGGCAACAAACGCCAGAAGAAAGCATACGTGTCTATAACAAAGAAACAATGTAATATGTACTGAATTCATATATCTCGGTATCCGCAAAATCAGTGCAGAAGAAGCAATATCTACCAAAAACAATCAGAGGCTTTGCAATCAAAAGACATGCACAGAGGCCATACCAGCCGTGTAAGCAAAGTGAATATGACTTGTTTGGGCAAGAACTGCCTTCTCAAGAGGCGGAAGTGCAGCTTCAATCCGTTGCACACGAATTGACAACTTACGACTCCTAGAAGCTGTGTTCATTACTTGCTCTTGTAATCCATGAAAAACCTCTGCAGCAAATCTGCATCATATAAACCACACCGCAGTTTAAAAAATAGCTAACATTTTAAAAGCAAAAAAGAAGTAAAAACTTAAGTAATCAAAGATGAACATCCTATGATCAAAAGATTAAACGTTCATTAATCAAACTCTATGGCTTCCAATTTCTATTAATTACAACTAACCAGAGATATCCTAAAGCCTATAAAACGAATAAAATATTAAACGTACTCAGAAAGATCCCCTAACTGGCGCAAGATCCCAACGAGGCCAGCGACGGCGACGCCGTCGAGAACAGCTTTTGGATCTTCTCTATTAGCTTCCTTGTAAAGCTCCGGCTGACCAAGGCCGTATTCATTCCTTACTTGAGCTCTAACCAGAGGCATTTTCGTTTTTTGCTCTAAAAATTTCAACAGAGAAAAAGGGGAAAAGAAAGGAAAGAGAAGAAGAGTTATGTTCTAACAGCAGCAGCGAATATATAATTTATAACACTACTACTTCGAATTAGGAAATAAAAGAAGGAAAAATACAAAAATAAATTTGAGGTAATCTATTTTCGTATTTGCAAAAGAGTGAGTGAAGAGATTGGAGCAGCTTAACTAACTGCTGAAAGAGAGAGAGAAGGAAGAAGCAGCGGAGCCAGCACTGAAAGCCGTTCCCTTTACCTGGAAATCCTTCTGTTTGTGGAAAAGACGGGATTAACCTTCCATTTCCAAGGAAATTAATCGGGAAGGGGGTAATCTGGGTTGTGTTTAAGGTTGATAATTCGATTGAGTCGAGTTAAATTTTTTTAAATTATTTGAGTTGACGAGTCGTATTTACAACTCGAATTTATTTTAAAAAAATTTCAAATCGAGTTAAGTTTAAGAAATTTGAGTCGAATTATTTGAGTTTCTGTACTAATTTTATTATAATTATTTATAGTATTATGTCAATGATTTGTTCTAATTTTTTGATTTTATCTATATATATATATATATATATTATTCTTTCATATTATAATGTTATTTAATATATCAAATACAATATAAAATTATGAAATATATTCATAATATTATATTTTAAAGAAAGTATTTTGAGGGTAAAATATTGATGAGAGTATAAATGAGTCAAGAAATTGATGAGAATAAAGAATTTACAAACAATTGTAGTCAAAAGATCAAATTGAGTAAAATGCAAAGTTTAGTGATTAAATAAAAAAGATAGTTAAAAAAATAGCAATTAAAGTTACATATGTATTCTATTGTGGTATATGAGCATGTGATTCAAATTTGATAAAAAAAAATTGATTTAAAATAAATCACAAATTGAAAGAACGAGGAGATTATGAAAAATTGAAGGACTAAATTAAAAAAATTGTTATCAAAAATAGGAATTGAAAGTACACGTGTATTCTACTATGGTTTAGGAGCAAGTGGCTCAAATTTGATAAAAAATGGACTTAAAATAAATGACGAATTGAAGAAATAATGAAATCATGAAAAATTGAATGACTAAATTGAAAAATAAAAATTTTGTTATAAAAAAGAATTGAAAATACACATGTATTCTAATATGGTTTAGGAGTATGTGGTTCAAATTTGGTAAAAAAAATAGACTTAAAATGAAGGATGAATTGAAGAAATAATGAAATCATGGACTAAATCGTAAAATTATCAAAGTACTGGGTCAAATTGTTGATTTTTCGAGTAACTCAAAAATTCAAAATTTTAACTATATTCGAACTCGAAAACCGAATTTATAATTAAAGTTAACTCGAATAACTCAAAATTGAAAAAAAAAATCGATTTTTTGAGTCAAGTCGAGTTTTATTCACCCCTAATTGTGTTGGTTGCACTGCAGCAAAAGTGTTCTATAGCGGTGTTTTTAGGAGCGTTTTTAGGGTAAATGCCACAAAATTTAAGCATGTAGCGACGTTTACTATCCAAACGCCACCAAATTATACTTTAGTGGCATTTTTCCAACAAACGTCGCAATAGAGTGGTAATTTCGCAATGTTTATAGCTAAAACGCCGAAATAGATATGTTTACAGTGGTATTTTTTCAATAAACGTCACAATAGAGTAGTAATTTAGCGGCGTTTGTATAAAAATGCCGTAATATGGTTGTTTATAATGGCGTTTGTCCAACAAACGATGCTATAAAGAATTAATTTAGCGGCATTTATCAAACAAACGCCGCAATAGGTTTGTTTATAGTGGCATTTGTGCAAAAAATGCCGTAATAGATTAATAATTTTGCGGCGTTTGTTCTAAAAACGCCGTCATATGTTTGTTTATAGTGACGTTTTTAAAAAAACGCCGTAAAAACGTGTACTACAGTAGCGTTTATTTAAAAAACGCCGCCAAAGGGTCAATATATACTCTACCCTTTTCTCCTGCCTGATCCCTAAATTCATTTCAACGCTGCTTCCCTAAAAGGGATTTCTCTGGTACAACAACAGTACTCACACGATTCCAAGCGACGTCCTCTTCTGTCTGTCTCGGCGGCCAAATCGGTCCTCTCACCGACGATTAGTTATCTCACGATTGCACGGTTTGATCCCTTCTCTAAGTACAAAACTTTTTCATTTTTTGGTGGTATTCTGAAAATGGGAAAAACCCAGAAAGCTGGAGTAATAGAGAAAAATAATATCTTTCGAATAGGAAAAGAATATCTATACATATTGTTTTACTGGTTTACTGCTTGGGAGCTGTGTTTTTCTGCTTTCGAATACAAAAATAATAGCTTTCGAATATGATAATAATAGCTTTTCAAAACGTGAACAAATGGTTTTTGTACAAATAACAGGTATTTAATTCAGTAAGACAAATTATCGTTGGAATGTCTACGTGGCATCTTTGCTCTGATGATGGATCGAATTATCGTTGGGAGACTATCAGTCCGAACTTGCCGTCGAAAGTCGATGATAACCCGAAAGGCCCTCATATTGCAAAATACACTTCCATGGTCGATCTCCTAATTGAAGGTAACAATTAATCGCTGAAAGTTTATGCCACTATATTTTTATTTTGTACTCCCAAATTTCATAGATCGCAGGCGTGTAGGATGTTCAAAGCTTATTGAGAACGATGGTAGAGAAGTGGATAAAGACCCGATTTTTAGAACCGAATTTGTTAAATCTATGGCGTTGAAAGAATCTTCAACTGCAAAATAAATATTTATCCTCAATGAAGACAATGTTGCCTCTACTGATACTCCAAGTAAACTTTTCTATCTTCTATTTAATTTTTTTAATGTTTGATTCAGTTCCAAAGCCACATCCAATCAAGTTTCATACTGTAGGCGGAAGGTTGTTATCTGTTTCAAGTGAAGCACTGCAGCGCGCAAGGACTCTTCTTGGTGAACCAGATGTACGGGATTTATTTGGTGAAATTGATGAAGAGTTTCTCCATATAGAGTTTACATAGAGGAAAAACGCAACGATGTGTCGTCAAACAAGGAAAACAACTTTCTTACGTCCTTTCCCCACGAAGGAGCAGTGAAGAATAAATTCAAGTAAACAATATGGTGAAGACTTTATATGCATAACTTTAATGTTTCTAAATTTTAATGTATTATGTTGTTAAGTATTAATTTTATGGTAAAGACTGTTTATGCATAACTTTAATATACAAACACCGCAATAGGTGTAATTTGGTGAATAATGTTTATGCATAACTTTAATTAATGTTTGTAAATTATAATGTATTTTGCTGTTAAGTAGTTTTATGCATCAGTTATGTCTTAATTAAAATGTATGGTATTGTTAATTACATAAAAATACGTGGCATTAATTTTAGTTTATGTAGAGAATAAATTAAATATGTATTTATATAAAGGTATTTAGCGGCGTTTGTATCCAAAAATGCCGCTATATAACTGACTTTTTGCGGCGTTTATTTCTAAAAGCGTCGCAATATAGTTAATCTATAGTGGCATTTGTATAAAAACACCGCTAATGAATTGTACTATAGTGGCGTTTTTGTACAAACGTCGCAATAGGTGTAATATATAGTAGCGTTTTTAAACTCAAACGTCGCAAAATATTTGGACAGTAGTGGCGTTTATAACAAACGTCAACATAGAATAGTACTTTAGCGGCGTTTTTGGGTAAACGCCACAATAGGTGTAAGATATAGTGGCGGTTGTTCACAAAATGCCGCAATATATTTGTACTTTTGGAGCATTTTTAAACAATAACGCCACAATATATGGACTGTACTGGCGTTTATAGAAAACGCCGCGATATAATATAACTATAGCGGTGTTTGGATTACAAACATCGCAAATTGATATTAAATCCCCAAAATTGATGTGAATCATGAACCCTATTCTCATCTCCATCTATCCTTCATATCTTCCTCCGCTCTCCCTCACAAACAAAACGTCGCAATCGGCCTTGCAGTGGCCACCATTCACGCCGTCGGTTCCAGTGTCGTGACATCACTGTTGACTCTCGCGCCTCCATCAATCCATAAACAAAACCTCTGCTGCTTTCGTCCATATATATCACCGTTTGTAATTGCGCCATGGGTTTTACTTTCAACAATGTAATTTTTGGTACTAAACGAATGGTATGTATGTATGCATTAAAGCACTAAAGAATCTGAATTTTAATAAGCATGCAGAAAATCTTTTCAATGTCATTTTGGGTTTGCAAAATTCTGATAGTTTGCGTTCTCATTCATCTTTAGGAACTATTAGTATTCAGAATTGTAGAGTGATGATTTGTTGCTAAAATTGGATTAACTATGATTTTGATGTCCAATTGTTGACAGGTTTTTGATGTTTTTCTCCTATAACTTTTGGTACTTGTATGTAAGTTTAATAATTTCTTATATGTTTCCGGAAATTGGTTTTTGGGGGTAATATCTCGATACTTGTTTCCAAAAATGTGTTGGACATGTATTTTAAACAGAAATTAGGAGTCAGGGCAATATAGATTTGAAACTTGAACATTTCTGTTTACATTCCACTCCAGTAGCTTCTTTATTTCTGTTCAACGTCCAATTCAGTAAGCTATTAGTTTCAAATTTCTCCCATGTTATAGCTTATATATGCTTGTTTGAATGAGATCCTTTGGCAGGGTTTATGTTTGCCAATATTCGTCCAGAAATAGGGAAAATTCAATTGCTTTTGCTTTATGTAGTATCTTGCATCATTGAGTTTCTAATGTTGTCCTCATGATCAGTTAACTTTAAGAGTTTATGAAAAGTAATACATTGGCTCAAACATCAAATTGTGGTTGCTTTGCAATTTTGTTTGTTGTTTCTTTCCTTGCATAGATGGTAATCTTTGACATAATTTATCCAAATTTGAACAACAATTTCTTCTTTAATGGTGTTAGTTTGAAGTTCATTTGCAACCCTTGTTGCATGTAGATTCTACACATTGTAGTGTCATCACGAGTCCCTTAGTCATAATCTTCAGTCTGGTGATTCTACCTTTACTGTATTATTCCCTTACATCCCTTTTACTCTTTTTACCCCCTTTAGTCTTTTGTGACATTTTCCCTTAACTTCCATATGGTTGAATAATTATTAAGTTGTTTTTGTCGAGCTAAGATTCACTCTCAGTGGATTACCTGTTGCAAAGATGTATATGGTGGAATGTTTATTGTTTTTGGTTATTTACTTTTGTTAAGGTTTCTACTGTGCTCGTCGTAATTTAGAATTGTTGGAGGGAATGGGTTGCTACACAATTGTTGACTGCTTTTTAAAACCTGTTGCACATA